CATAAAAAACAAGGATGACAAAATGATGAGTAGACATTCCCCCGGGGATGAGGTAATGTGTAGGCTAGCCAATGGTCAGTCTGCAAGCAGTTAGGTGTGGTCGTATGTCTGCAGACACACCCAGGCATCGGATGAAGTTTTCTCATCACTCGCCATGCCCTCGTTTGATTTGAGTCATCAGCTGAGTTTATCGATTATCATGACAGTCGTATGTAACTATATACTATTTAGTCACAATACACAAGTTGTGAAGTGAAACGAAAAGAGTAGTAAAACCATACAAGACGATTGTAGAACAGTAATTTGAAAATTGTAATTTTAAGTAGTAAAGTTACCCTTCTAAACTTTATGGTCTATGGGGCAAGTAAAGTAGAGTCACCTGTTTCTGTGACCTCGGCCTATGTAGTAATAGTGTAGTAATAGTCGCCTTTACTTTCCCTAACGTGAGTTAGGTACCCATCAGAGCTGGGTGGGCTCAGGGACGGTCTACAGACTTTAACCCGGATTCGAACTCGAGACTAGCGGGTTAGCAGTCTAGCCCTCTACTAGCAGTCTATTAGCAGTTTGCAGTCTAGCTCTCTACTACTAGGACACAAGGCTATACTTAAATTATGTTTTTGTACATAGGGTTCATGTTTTACGAAGAGTTGAGGATTATTTTCCATTGTATATTTCGTTTTAAATGTGGAAGTTTACAAGTTCCTAGCAAAAGCAAGATGCACATAAAAAAACAATTTTAGCTTTTTATATTATGTAAGTATATTGCCTTAGATCCGCGTGCAAGGTCTGTGTTTTCTATATTACCTGATCGAAATAGCTGACCCCCAAACATCTTGCCCCCCCCCCCCCCCTAGGACACAGACAATATGCACACACATAAACACACACACGAGCACTTCAATAGAACAGATAACAGATAGCGGCTGGGCTTTATCGAAAACTGTCGTGAAAAACGCGAGTCTTTGCGTGCGTGTCGAGTGCTGAGAAAGAAAGAGTGTGCGTGTGTGCGTGTTGGAAGATCGATGGAAGCAATTTTTGTTAGATAATGAAAAAGATGTGTGCGTGTTGTGGGGTGGGGGGAGAGGGGGGAAGGGAACGAGGACGACTGTAAAACGTAAATTGAATGTAATTTACTTTCTAGAATGAATCCAAGTTTGGATACCGTATCGAATGAAATAAACAATCTCCATTATGACGGGAATTCCCAGTGAAAGCAGATCTCCAGCAGTGGTGTGGAAATGTGTGGTGGTATTTAACAGTGTTGAGAATAGAGGTGTGTGTGGGGGGGGGGGGGGTAGAAGGATGTGGGGAACAGCAGAGTGTGGGTAAAAGAAGTATTAGTTGAGCTGGAGTTTGTGGGGAACAAAAGCATTACGAGTGAGTGAGGGGGGGGGGGGATATGGTAGGCGATTGTGGGAAGCTAATAATAGCTAAAAAGGATATTGGTGCAGTTAACGAAAGGGGCTAATGATTTAAGAATGTGTGCAGTTAATGATAAAGCTATAATTTACTATAGGTATGAGAGTTAAAACGAAAATGGAGTCTAAAGAAATGTGTACAGCTAAGGATAGAAAAAAAATAAAAATAAAAGAACTAACTAAATTGAGAATATGTGAACTAATAAACCGGTAGTGATCTCCCCTAAACTTTCTCGAATATTCTTATATAAAACAACAGGGGATGTAACTGGGGATATAGTTATAATTTTTAATCCATTTTAAATACTGAAACTTTTAAAAATAGAATAGAATCTCAGTAAAAAAACAATTGCGCACCAAGCGAACGCCTAATAAAGGTGTGTATAATAGTGCGCAATAGTATTAGTACTTAATAAATTTACATTAGTTTTTTGAGAAATCGGAAGTAGCGTAAATTACTACTTCCGGTCAACGGAAATTACTCAAAATTTAACAGAAGGTAGAGAATTAGATCTTTTACTTACATGTGAAATTTCATTTATCTATCTGAAATAGTACTCAAGTTATAGGCTTTTGAAAAATTCAAAGTAGAAAAAGTACCACTTCCGGTTGTCGGAAATCGCTCAAAAGTTGATACGGATCTACGATTTTGATATAATACTTATATATGAAATTTCATCAACCTAGCTGTAACGGTACTCAAGTTATCGTGTTTACACACGGACACACAGACACACACACAGACACACACACACACAGACATACGGACAAGATTGCAAAATTATGTTTTTCCGTATCAGTGAGGTGTAAAACGTCGAGATTTGTAAAAATCTCGATTTTTTTTTTTTGCACGATTACAATACTTTCTCTATACTACGTATATACGAGAAAGTAAAAATGGTAGAACGTGATGATTAACTAATTCAATTAGTTTACTATAAACAAATGCTTCAAAGTAAGAGAGTGGAGAACAAAGGGTGAAAAAGTAGTGGGGGAGGAGGGGGGCGGGATAACAAGCTAAAGGTGCACTTAATCATTGTCTATTGAAGATAATATTTACCATCTTTTACAATAGAGAACATAATGACTATACTTCTAATATTATCTTTGTGCTTAAATATGCTATTACTCCATAATAGCTCCATGTTTCTATTTAGACACTCGAACTCAAGCTCGGTAACTGACTATAAACCAACACTCGTGTTGAAATAAATCACCACAACCTGTTATTGATATTTTACTTTACTTTATGTGGAAGTTTTAAAAAGCGTAAATAGATTAGTAACATTTCGCAAGAGATTATTATTGTTTCAAGTTTCGTGTGATTTGAAACACGATCACTGGATGATTCGAGATGTTGAGGGGTAATATTATTTTATAGGCACTCGAGCAGATTAGATGTAGAGATTTGCATTGTGCAATACGATTTGATTGAAAAAATATAAAGAATAAAAAAGAAAGAAACAACAACGGGAAGCAATAAACACTGGGGGTCTGGGTCTAACATAGCTAGAGGACATTACGAGGCTGGCCAGGGTAAACAATAATTTTATGATGACAAAACAAAAGAAAGAAAAAAAATTAGGGGGGGGGTATTGAATGCAGAGGAAAAGTTTTTTTTTAAAAAAGAGTGTAAAAAGTATCGCATCTGTGATTCTGGATAAGGGTAAGGGCTGGAATAATGATTATGGGAGCTATACAGAGTTTCTTTCAGACATTTTTCTCCGGTGGGAGTGGGGAAGCACTATACATTCGTGAGGGAGTGGTGGGGCGCACATGGGTTGAAGTATATATTTCGCTCGGGTGGGGGGTGAGGGTAGACTGTGCTTTAGGGGTTATGCCCCCCCCCCCCCCCAAGAGAAGGCTGAATCAAATTCCGTATCTATGCCGGCACAAATCTTATTATATACGCATCTTCGAATATTACGGATGTATAGAAGAGAAGACAAGCAAACGAAGAAGATGACGAAAGAGTGATAGATTAATTTAGCAAAAATATTTCAAACAGATAGCTAATTATCTCGTGTTAATTGCTAGACGGACTGATTAATCGACGGGCACTCGTCTGACTAGACAGAACATACCTGAGGTAAAAAATGTAAATAAAATCCTCTCAAAACACGTCTTCCTATTAAGTTCCTATAAACGCACGCGTCTAGATATGGCTGATAACACTTGCAGAAAACACTTGGGTGAATCCCTGTAACGGTTTTAATCCGCACATCAGTGTACACTGTACACACGTGTACAGAAACAGACGATGTTATCTCCGAGGGGAATGTTTGTTTACTTTCACCCGTACACACAAGAAATCCACTTCCTACTAGAGCACAAAATACCAACACACCTTACAGAATATACACCATTTTTTTTTCTTGCTGTTTAAAAATGTCTTCAGTCGGAGGGGAGTTTGCCAGCAGCTATTTATAGATCACATGACGTCATTGGATATTGGAACGAGCAGTTTCGGAGGTCAATAATAACAAAGTAACTCATCCTTTTTTTTTGTAGCGTGCTAGACACTACGGTTTCTTTCTGACAATTTTCTTAGGGGAGGGTGCACTTTAAGTTTCTGGTGGAGGCGAAGGGGGGTGTTGGACGGACACTGGTTAAAGAATTTATGTTCTGTATAAATTATTTATTTTGCGTTCAGGATAGGGGTGGGGTGGGCGGTGTACCTGCTCTGGGGCACTGCCCCCTCCCCCAAGGGAGATGTCTAAATTGAAACGCTGTTTGACACTGCGTCTGCCATATATTTAAGGAGTTGTAAATGTTTTAGGAAAATGCTAGTAGTCACACGATTGTGTAGGAAAGAGTAACAGGACTGTGGGCTTCATGTGCAAGTACCAATGCAGGCCCCGTCTGTTTAATAAGTAGAGCCATGTGCCAAGCAAGAACTGAGTTCGTCTGTGTGTCGGTGCTTGAAAATTGTCGGATGATAAAAAAAATCAACTACGGTCATATATACTATAGCAACCGGTCAGCCAAATTCGTTGGTCGTCAAAAATACACACATGTTAACTAATGTATATGTACAAAAGCTTGTCAACTTCAAACACACCAAGAAAACATCTACGCTAACTTCAACAAGTCAATACAAACAACAAAACACCAGTAAATTATACTCAAAAGCTTGACAGCTACAAACACATCAACAGACCAATTAAATGCCTGATTTAACAACTCAATCGCAAAAACAATAACCGCAAACCACACACAACTACCAGTAAACAACAGACCTAAAGGAAAATATAGAGTACTCACATTTCGATGTTTGTCGTTTAGATATTCTGCAGAAAAAAAAATAAATAAAACGTAATTACTTTGATTAAAAACAATACTACAATAATGTTAGTACAACAGGACAAGTATATTGTAACCCAGAGGCGTAGCGAGGGCGGGGGTGCGGGCCGCACCGGGTGTCACCCGACCTAGCGACGCCACTGTTGTAGCCTTCGCTGACCTGGGATAGAAAAACATGTGCACCATGTAACGTGCAATAAAACAATACCAGATCGTCTGATCCGTGCTGTTAAACTCTCGTAAGACTGGGGTCCTTGCGCCATTGTTAAGTCTACTTTTATTTCAACACTGTGGTACGTTTTTGAGCCGACCCAGCCGTGTGGGGTACCTAACATGTCAACGAGACTAACGAACAACGAAGAACTTTACCGACAACACAATCCGATTCCCCGTTATACCTACAGCTATGAAATAACTCAACCTCAATCTACCTTATTACCTAACCCACCCTTTATTATTGAACGAATGGGTACTTAAGTTAGTAAAACAGAGACGCCACATACAATACCAGTTATGAGGTTCACCTCTGTGCACCGAAATGTAGGCCCTCATTAACCGGAATTTACCGGCTAAACAAAGCTTAAGTAAAATATTAAAGCGCATTATTTGGAAACAGCCTGCTGAAGCGTGTGGTTTAATGAAGCGACCCGATCATAATAAAACCGCATGGAATTTTTTAATACCGTAGCTTAAATAGACACGGCAATAAGGTTTACATTTTTATTGAAGCAAAATATTTTTTAAAAATATTTTATTTCATTCTACTTTATATGGAAATAGCCACATTTTACTATTTAGTAACAAATCAATATAATTTGACATTTCAACATATTAAGGTTTGTTTAAAACTCGAAAATAAACCTCCATTGAAAACTCGTCTCATCCTCGGGCTATGAAGATGACGAGTTATTATTTCAAGGAAGTTCAAAATACAAATGACATGAATCATTGTTTTACTACAGTATATAGGCACATTTTAACGCGAAAAGTATCCGATTCATAAACACAAGTTAATTACGTCTGTGTAACTAAACATAATAACCAAAGGTTAATTAAGAATTCCAGGTAAAGGTCACCTGATCCGTTAATCGTACTAGTTGTTTGGCTAATCACGCCATGTTGGGCGATGTATGAATTGCTTCCCTTGAATGTTAATGACGCAGTGGTCATGATGGTAAACCTTTTTTGTTATGTGTAACTGTGGGAGCCTTATGTGTCATTGTGGGCCTTATGTGTGGGCCTTATGTGTGGGCCTAACGTGTAACAGTGGGCCTTATTTGTCATTGTGGGCCGTATGTGTAACAGTGGACCTTATTTGTCATTGTGGGCGTTATATATCATTGTGGGCCGTATGTGTCATTGTGGGCCGTATGTGTGGGCCTTATGTGTCATTGTGGGCCTTATATATCAGTGGGGACCTTATGTGTAACAGTGGGCCTTATGTGTAACAGTGGGCCTTAAATATCAGTGGGTGACCTTATGTGTCACTGTGGACCTTGTGTGTCAGTCTGGGCATAAGTGGCATTGTGGGCATCAGTGTCATTGTAGAACGTATGTGTCATTGTGTGCCTTAAGTATCATTGGGGATCTTATATCTCATTGTGAACTTTTTGTGTCATTTTAGAACGTATGTGTCATTATGGACCTTATACATCGTTGTGGACCTTTTATGTCATTGTGGACCTTAGATGTAAAAGTGGATCTTATGTGTAGAAGATAAATATGCATTGCATGGCGTACAGATATATACTAATTTTATCATAAATGTTGAGGTTTTGAAAAATTCTCGAGTGGAATCCATACCACCTTAAATGTCCCTACAAAATAGCTTCACAATTACAACATTATCCGTCTTCGATTTACCAATACATCAATAAAATCTAAATCGTATAACTCAAAGAAGTAAAATTAATATTTTTAAAAAGTCACCGGTAATAAAATCCAATCTTCATAAAATCAGTACCCCCCCCCCCCCCCCCCCAGACATGTCATCCTAAAGATTTAAAACCAAGAAAAAAAAAAAGAAGCATTTAAAAAGTTTAACCTTAAAAACTCATTACACACGCAGCTGATAGTCAAATGACCAACAAAGTAGCCAGCCCAGGTAGATTGTTTCAACACATTCCAGGTGTATACCACGGCGACAGGGTGCTGATGCACCTGGTTTATAGGTCAATGACACCTGGAAATCGATGTATCGGCAGATAAACTCCGCCAGGTAGAGTTTGTCGTGTCTTCTCAACGTCACAAACTAACAACCGGTTTCCGCTTTTGGCTTCCGCACACGGTAGTTTGGTATTTAGAAGTACACGCCGGGCCGGGTGGGGGAAGGCGGGATTGTCTTGCGATCAAGACTAAAAAAAGAACAAGATAAATAAATATATTAAGGAGTCAGAAATGTATGGATTCAGGTAACAGTGGGAGTTGGGGTGGTCACATTTAGGTAAGATGTTGGAAGGATGGTAAATGGTGGAGATGGAAAAGGGGAGGGGGGGGGGGGGGGGTAAGAAATGTGACGTAGTTTATATTTTTGTATATTATATCAATAAAAAGGAAACGACGTAAATTAATGAAAAAAAAACAACCGTTAATATTTGTTATAAAATTACTGGGTGCCTCTGTGCTCGCCGGCAAAACTGGGTTGTATTGATATTTGTTTTTTTTCGAATTACTAGTTTCGATGTGGGCGGAAGTATATTTCCAAATAAATTATATACCCTTTTCTATTTCGCCCGGGGAGATGCATGAAATAAACTGGGGTTGAAATAACCGAGAATTGCGTTGATGAGATTCATCTGGTGGGGCGTCAATAATTCAATTGTTGGGACAACAAAAGGTGGACAGCAGTTGGGTTGTTCAGAACACATGGCGGGATAGAAGACTGAACAAAGGCATGAACAGATGGGTGTTCTTAAACAGAGTAGTAGACAAAAGCCCAGCACCCGACACCACCCTGCGCCCCATACAACTCCGTACCCCGCGCCCTGCATCTCCGCCCAATCTTTAGTCTTTACAGATGAGCATACTCTGGAAATGGGACAACGCCAAAGCGCCCCCATCCTTTACAGATGGGCATTCTTCCTGAGCATAGTACATGTCCAACGCCCCCACACCACCGTTCACCCCGCGCCCCCACCCCTAAGCTGGTCTGCAGATGAGAACACTTTGCGCTAATCAATAATTTAGTTTTAGCGGCATTCACACAATAGTTTTGGGATGAGTCCAACATTTTGAAGGAGACAAAAAAAAAACACGAACCCACACCGGGTGTAAAAGGAATTACACGCTGGACGTCTTATGTCTGTGTAAAAGGTTCACAATGTGTTATGTTGTGTGTTGGTGTATGTCAATGCATATTGGTGGGTGTGAATGTCTATACATGTGTGTGTGTATTTGAACAGGCTAGGCTAATTATAAACACCTTTCAGTTATACAGATTTATGGGTGTAGAAAAGTATATAATATAATATTATATATATATATATATATACATATATATATATATATATATATATATATATATATATATATATATATATATATATATATGTATGTATGTATAGTGTGCGTGCAAGCAGTCGCGTGACTTGGTTTTAGTCTATACTTCTGCGTTCCATCTGAACTGCAAATCTAACCAAACGGTGTGTGTGCATGTGTGTGTATGTGTGTGTGTGAAACAAAATCCAGACACAGCTAGTCTGGTCATGACAATGTTGCTGACAAATGATAATGATGACCGATCGATGACAGGGGTAATGAGAGGGTCATCCGAGTTTAGTCCGGCTCACGGTGTGGTGCGGTCTAAGTGAATACCGTGATTAGTCGCGTGTTGGTGGTGTTGCTGTAGAGGCTGGTGGTGTGGTGTAGCGGATGAGGACGTGTGACCGTAGAACAACGTATTTGTAATAGTGTTGCATGGACCGTGTAAACTTAACTAGAAAGCGAGAACTTTCTAGAGTATAACAATAACACAGATCAACTAAAAGAACTGAGGGCATTTTGTCAGGTTTTAAAAGGGCAAACCATAAAATCAAACCCTTCTCGTTTCTCCTCTTTTAACCCAAACAACCTAAACTATTTTCTGGAATTTTCCCCCTCCAATATAAAACTTACATACGTTAAAGCTATTAGAGATTATGTAGGTTACACCGTGATCAATAAGTATATATCGATCATCCAATTGTGATATTATGAATGACTTGAGGCTACAACACAGTAATCGAATATCCCGTATTGATCATACGATTTCAGAAACAACTCACTATGTTCGTATACTTATCTGATAACAACAGTTGACTATTAAACAACGAGCCTATATTCAAGGGCTTGTACTTTTATGAGGGATCAGTCCAGAACTAAGATTTATATTGTTTTAATTACGGTTTTTAAAAAAATACAGAAAAAACACAGTAACGAGTCAAGCATTTTAAAGACGGTATCGATATTGGGCTCACGGTTAAGATGATGGTCAATGTCAGAGAGAGGGTGGGTGTACGGTTATAAAGAAATGGCCGAGGTAATAAAAATATTGTTTTTAGGGTCAGAGCTAGAGCATCGATACTAGCAGCAAAACGTAACACCGAATTCGCCTTGCCGTCATATGAATAAGTATTGTTTGAGGTTTTAAAGCGCTTTTTGCAACCAAGCCAGCCTTGTGGTTGACCTTGGCTTTTCTCTGAGGCCGCATACACACAGTGGCAAGCCGGCTTGTAGGCCCTTACGAGCTCATTATGACATAGATCTAGTAACAATGAGAAGAATCTCCAGGCCTAGCTTCTAGAACACAGGTTCCCAAACTTTTTCGAGTGGCGACCCTTTTTAAAAATTGACCTTCGACCCCCACAAAATTACAAAAGAATATGTATGTTTTGTTTAGTCTACAAGTTGGCGACCCCCAGAACCCCCCATCCCGGGGGGGGGGGGGTGTGAAGGGGGTCGCGACCCACAGATTGGTAACCCAAGTCAGAGAGTACTGTTATTATTATAG